TTCAAATAAAGAACCGATGAGATTTTGCAAATTTTATGCGTTTTTTTAAAAAAAAAAGTTATCAAGCTCTTAAAAAATCACCCGTTACAACAAGCAAGGAAAAAAACCCAAAAAAAATCACTATTTGTTTGTTATGAAAAATGGAAAAAGTAACAGAGCCAAACCGGTAGAAGTTGTAGCAGCTCTTTCGGAGATCATCACATCTCCTCATCAGACTTTTTTTCTAGACTTCAGCAGGGAAGCTCTTCCTTATTCAACCTACTACTATCCTGCTGATGGTAGCCGGTTGAAACTTGCACTTCATAAGACTAAAATTGAAATGAAAATTTTCTAGAAATTCTAAATAAAAAGTTGAAAATGTTGATATAATTTTTTGAATTTCTGTGAACTTTATATAGAGCGTGAAACTATAATATATATGATTAATATTAGAGAATGAACTATGTTTTCATTAATAATTAATACAATTTTTTTTTTTCATGGAAATAATTGTGAATACTATATTACTGACTTTCATTTATCGCCTAGTGTATACTTAGAAAATAAAATCAAAAAGCAAATATTTCACTAACGTGCACTATAATCCACGCCGTCGCTCTACACAATATCCACGTGACATAAAACATATTTGATATGAAGTCGACAATATTCCAAAGATCCATAATATACTCGAATAAGCCATCGGAATAAAGAGATTTCAGTTCACCGAAGATAAGACCTTAACCCAAAAAAAAAAAAAAATAAATAAAATAAAATTCAGATCTAATTACTCATTCAACATGGATGTAACTAGTGTTCGCTTACTGGCAATATAGGTGATAATACCCAACTCAATGGGACCCGGCAGCGAACCACGCTCATGCTTTCGCCAATCTTCCAGCATGGCTAACATCCAAGGGAATCCCAAAAGCTCGAAGGCAAGATCAACCACACGCAATGAAGCCGCGCCCAAAAGCACTACAAAAAAAGTACAAATTTCCAATTTCTGTTTAATATTCTGTTTAACATTTCTACTTATATAACTTACTCAAAAAGAACATATACGAGCAGGAGTGTGATATGAATTTCACAAATGGCTTTCTCATGAATTTGCCCGCATCAGAGTCTGGCGCTAGCAAATAGTTCATACTGTTAATGGGAAACATGCAGCCGAGCTTCACCACTTCTATGATCTGCTGTGAGGCTTGTTTGCGCCTAAAACCGGGCAGTCCCTCATACCAAATGGCCGCCAGCAGTTGTTGCACATTCGGATGCGCCACAAACTGAATAAAGAGCAATGAGGAAAACGTTGTAGGCAGTAACAGAAGAGAAGAAGATGCGAAAATTTAATTTATATGCCTAATTCAGTATGCATTGCCTTAGTGTGCACTTACCGCTTTCTGCTTGTAGCGTATGGCCAATTTGAGACGCTCCAAAGTTTGCCGCTGTCCCGGCATCCAAATATCAGTTGTGGGCTCGTGATTGAAGTTCAGCATTACCTCCAGTTCGGTTGAAGTGCGCGCGTGATCCAATAGAGATGAGACAAATTCTTGCACACCCACACGCATTTCCTATGCGTTGGAAAGCAGCAAATAACGTAAAGCAAGTAAAGACAAAAAATTCTTTGTTTATACATCCAAAGAGTATGTATATGTGTGCATGTACCACTATCAGCATATTATACCGTGCGTGTCAGAGTATGCAGTCGTCTAAAAAAATGCCTAAACAAATCACTAAATGGTCACAATAAAGCTCTTTCGTCAACCTAAATGCGCATTAGTGGTAATCTTATTGTGGCGTTGCTGTTGTTTTTTAGCACTTCACTTTGCAGTTTTACTTTGGTTTTGATTTGCCTTTCTCCTATTTCTGTTGCCCTTATTCTATTTAGTATCTATGTATGTAGTAATATATTTGCTTTCCGCCCTTGCGAGTTCATTCCATATCTTACCGTATATTCCGCTCTAAATTCAGATTCCATCGCTTGTAGGCGCTTTAATTCCCACGAGAGTTCAAAGGCCGTCAAGACGGGATCGCGCGAGCTAAGCGCTATTAAGGAGCTGGCGGAAAGTGCACGGTAAGCGTTGATACGCGATTGTGAATGTCGCAGTGAATCGGTTTCTTGTGAGCTGACACATTCATCGCAACCGCATCTGTGAAGAGGAAAAGAAAAACAAAGCGTAGAGTTGGTTATGATTTTATTACATTTCCAAATTTGTTAAGGTGAAAAACAAAATAGGATGAGGACTATAGCCCTCTTCTTCCTTTTTTGCACACTGGTCAAATGTGGTGTACTACTGTCCGGTTAAAATTTAATGTGCATTTTTTAATATAGGTCCTCGAAAACAAGAACTATGTTTGAAGTCCTTTTATACATAAAATGATATATAAGTATATATAAGATATATAAGTTTTAATCAAAACGTATGAATTTTATACCGCTGTCAAAATTATGATGTACGTTGCATATTTTGTACGAATAATTGTCACATTTTTCCTAATTGGACTGCTCAAATATTGTAAAAAGCAAAATCAGAGAGCAAACATTTTTAATTGATGTAAACATCGCATGCAGGATTTTATATTCACTAGTAGAGGGTCTGTTTTACTAGGGTTTACGCCGAGTCCACTTTAAGACCATTTCATTTCGAAGTTAAAGTATGTTTGGATCAGGTTATAAGGTTATACTGAAATCTAACCTTCATCAAAAGTGTCACGAGATCTGTTTCAGCGGGTTTTTAACGACCACAATTCAGAAGAGATATGAGAAAGTACCATCGTGTGAGTTTTTTGTTAACGCACAATACTGTCAATAACGCAGTAAAATACTGTCAAACTACATTTCAATAAACTTCAAAGCTAGTCCTTATTCTCAGACATTCTGGTTTGTCAGAAAATTGCAGGCCTAGGGGTCAGATCGCTGTAACTTGATCTGAGATATACACATAGCAGCACACCCGGTTCAATGTTGGAGGATAGAAAAGATGCAAGGATTTATGAACCTAGCACAAAATCTGCTTTTTCGATGGGTAGATGGTCTACAGTCTTTCATACCGAGCTCTCGGTAATCTCGACTGCTTCAGAATGGTTTGAAAGGCGCGTTTATATGTATATACGTATATATATTTTCAGAGAGGCTGGTGTCCATGAAGTTTATCAACTCTTAACAGCGAGGTACATGGATCACTGAGGTATCTAACGAGACGAGGCCACCGTGGAACTAACGAGCGAAGATTATTCGTTTGTTTTTGTGGGACCGGACTCAGATGATCTTATTCGTGGCTTACAATTACCGAGAAGATAAACACAAAACTCAGTAAGCACTGGGGTGCGGTAAAAGACCTCATACATATGAACATCTTTTGAATGCAGCCAACATCAAATTGCTCACCCAGACAAAATCTTATCTTTGCCTTAAAGACGAAGAGTTATTATCCGGCGCTGGTTGGACTAACACAGCAAAGTTCATCTACAGTCGAACCAATTATTATTAGAATACTACGGTACCGCCAGAATTGGCCTACCAGAGGTAAATCTTTATTCGAGGGATACAAAACATTTTCTATATCATATTGTTCCCATTCCTGTTACAACTAATTTATTTACTAGATAGTCTCGAGCTAATCTAGGTAACTGACCTCTTTCTACGGCAGGGCGTTCGCCTCCATATAGTACGAGGGTAATTTGAAAGGTCAGTGAAGTTTTTTAATTTCGCGCGGAGTAAGTTTAAATGATTTTTTTTGGAACTAAGCCCATTGTACTGGTTTAAATGAATGCTGCTCCCGCCAACTGTCATCGTTAGTAGACATTGACAGCCAAAGTGAAGATCTCGTGCTGACTAGCAATATCTTCTGCGTAAGAAAACCTTTACCGAAACCAAGGAGGGACTTTATGAATACTATGGGGATTCCGCAACATCAATTTCGATGGTTTAATGAGTTTCGTTCTGGCCGTACCAGCACAAGTGACTCTGAACGTTAAGGTCGCCCAAAAAGGTCGTCGCGCCAGAAATCGACGATAAAATCTATGCACAATCGGAGAATTTTAGTGTGTAGCGCTGCCTAAAGGGTGCCGCGTTTACTCACACATGACCATTAACTCAACCGTATGGCCACTTCAAAGGAATGTCTGGCGGAGTTCAGCCGCAATCCGAACGAGTCTTTGCACCTTTTCGTGACGTGTGACGAAACATGGATGCACCACAATGCGCCAGAGAAAAAGCAAAAATGAAGAAGTGCACCAAAGAATGCCGAACTGGGTAGGTACGCCAATAAGGTCATGTCCACAGGATTTTGGGATGCACGCGATATTATTAGCAACGAGTATCTTAAAAAAAAAAGAGAAAACAATCACTGGTGAATATAATTCAGAGCTTTAGATTCAACAATGCACGGGTGCACGCTTGTGTAGTCAACGTAGAAAACATCCATCAATTAGGCTACGAACTACTACCCCATACACTAGATTCAGCCAGCGACTATTCTCTGTTTCCAAACAGAAAGCATGGATCGCATGAAGAGGTCATCACTGAAACAAACGTTTATTTTGAGGATCTTTGAAAACCCTTTTATTCGGAAAGAATTAAAAAATTGGAAACACACTGGAATATAGCTAAAAAAGTGTTTTTCTGAGAAATAAAATGTTTTTTTTGGTGAAAAATAAAGATACCTTCTATTCAAAAAGTCACTGACTTTTTAAATTGCCCTCGTATGTAAGTATTTATCCTTTCACTAAATTAATTTAGAACTCCAAGTTCTTGATTTTGACGGCGATTTCTAAGACTGTCGTACCAAAACTTTCAGCGGACCTTCTCCCAAGCTGGCCTAACCTTTCGAGGGTTAGGCATTACAAGATTAATTTAAAAAGCGTTTTTTGCAGTTGCAGAGTCGAAAAAGTCGGTGGCATTCCTAAAGCATTCAAGTCTTCATTTTTGTAAGCTAATAGAATGAAAGTTTAGTTGTAGTTGATTAGCAACCGGAGTTTATTATAAACATAACTAGCTCACTTTCCTTCTGGAGCGCCTTCTAAAAAATGTGGGTCAAAATTTTAAACGAACACATAATATTAGAAATAATTGTTGAGCTTTGCAACCAACTTAAAAACTAAATGATACAATTTGCTATCCTCCTCAAATTTCTACCAATTCTTCAACAAATCCAAAACACACACAGCATCAGTCCAAACATACTAATGATGCTCGTGCTACTGGTATATGCACGCCATCCCGGCAAGAAAATCTTTTAATAGTTTTGTAACTAAGTACTAGCAAATTTTATTTACATATTTTTGATTTCCTACAAATACCAACGTACCAGCACTTTTCTGGAGACGTATTAGTAATGTCATACCAGTTGCAGGGTAGTTTGCCTAAGCATCACCAGTTAAAGGAATAAATTTTTTAGTTTGCTTGGGCTACCACAAGAGTCTCAATGGCTAACTGGTTTATGCGCTGGCATGCCATTCGAAAGATCCGTTAATGCGGATTTAAGAAAGTAGCTGTTCAGTTGTGCTTTTATCTATAGCAGATCGATCGCAGGTATACCTGGTGAGCTCGTAAACATAAAGGTAACGCTGTCTCTATCCAGCCGCAAAACAATAGTTCTAAGCTGCTTATTTCCATTGAAGTGTGGGCAAGGTGTGTGTGAGGGTAAATGAATTTTTTGTGGTTTTAAAAATCCAACCATATTTTTCTAAGCCTACATACACTTACGTAGGAAACTCTGAACAGATCTCCTTCATACTACTGCCAATTCAGGCGGAGGAAAATAGATGTTTTAGTGAGAAAACTTTGTAAAGAAATCCATCACAGAATTTCGATTGGTTTCGGATGTGATAATTCGAATACAAACGTTGCTAATCGCATAATCGAAAGTGGTTGCAAGCCCTTCAAAACAGCTCATAACAGTAAATGAAATAGTCGGTTTCTACCACCTTATCTACCGTTTAGCAGCTTATGAACTGCTTTGTCATTTCCCTGCAGGGATATTTCATAGTCTATGCATACGACTGCTCACTTTCACTACTAGAAACTCGAAATTGGTTATATGTACATATGTGTGTAAGTACACACATATGTATATTGCGATATGAAATACTCAATGCTAATAAAACCCACTCCATCATAAAACTGTGGTAGGCCACATAAATTCAAATTATTTCAACATCATGTTATGCGGCATGCAACACCAAGCAGCTGACGATAATAACATCGACAACATTGCAAAAACAATGCAAACTTGTTAGAAAATCACGTAAACATGCGCATGCGGGCGTGGCGTGGCCTGTAGTGCTTGAGTGCAGGGACAGCACAAATAAGGAAACGTGCCGAAACCGAGAAATTTTGGCTATAAGAACTACCAGGCTCAACAATAGCAACAATAAGGTAGGTGACAAAACCTAACAGATACAATCAGTGGACATTTTGATACAGTTGTTGATTTGCAAGTGCATATGTATGAGCGTGGTACGTGTGTTTGTGAGCGTACCAAAGTGATTGTTTAAAAAAGTGTTACGTCCAAATAGGTCAATATTAGTGCAGAGCAAAATAGTCGCAAATTGTTACAACGCAACTACGAAATAACACAATAATTGGGGAGAGCTGTTGATTTACAGCGGATTGCAGGTACCAGAGTTGCAATGATAATGTACCCTACCCATTCATGCATATACGACATACGTACATACGTGCGTGCAAACATAAATAGGTACACTTACTTTACGTCATGCGGCATGGGCAACGTAGCACCACGATCCAATAGGATTTTGAGTATTTCGTAATTGTTGCGATGCGCTGCCAATATTAGTGGCGTGATATCCGGTGTAAATGTCGACTTAGAACGGTCAACAGCTTCCCAGCTCTGGAATGTGCCAAATTAAAAATCAAATTAGCATTATGTAAATACATACATACAAACACACAAAAAATGTGCTTTAGTTGATGCACGCGTATGCATCTATTTGAGTGTGCACATACATACGAACATACATATGTATGTATGCATGTATATAGGTGCCAAGCAAACTTCCGCACATACTTACATAGGGTTGCCCCTCTTTGTGATGCGTCTCTTCCCATTGCAGTAATTCTTCCACCGCTTCAACATACTCTTCCGATATGGCATGCAACAGCGCATCGCCCACTTCGATGCCACACTCCAGCAGCACAACGATTAAATCGAAATTTTCATTCTCAATGGCGGAAATGAGTGCAGACCGATTGAGCGGATCGACACAATTTAAATTAAATTTATCCGGTTGATCCTTGTTGTCTTCGATAATTCTGGAAAGACGAGAATTGCAGCAGCATATTAGTAGTATAAATTAAATAGTATAACCGCCCATGCGACAGTAAATTTTACACACGCAAAACATCAATATATACGCGAAACCATGGACCAAATACGTCAGGATTTTTTAAAGGACTTTGAAATTTTAATAATATGATTGGTTCAAAATATTATTGAAAAAATCAGTGCAATTTAGAAAAAAGTATGGGTATAAAATTAAACAGAAAATTCTGTGGAATTAAAATTTCATCCTTGAATATGCTTCAAAATTTTGCAATACTTTTTTTTGAAAAACTTACATACACTTGCGATCAACTAATTAAGTCAGCAACATTTCGATAAGTTTTGGCTATTTTTCTTCCTTTATATATTTAATGCTTATTATTTTTTCATAATCAAAATTTTCAAACTTGTATTCAGTTTTATAGCGCAATAATTTTTAATAATTTTTTTATCAGACCGTATTACGCATACAAATAAAATTGTCGAATATACTTTGTATGGAAAAATTATAAAAAATCAACGCGATTTTTTAATGGCTTAATTAGCTGATAGCAACTGTATGTGTTAAGGGCTAATATACACTCGACCTTATGCTTGAATTTCGTCCTTCTAGCTTAATTGGTTTCAAAAAATAAAATTAATTAAAAAAGCATTTTGAATACCTATTCGTCGTCGTGAACCACTTTTATTTTATTATTAATTCTTTGTCATTTGGTACCCATTATTCTACATTGCACTGAATTTTTAAAATATTTTTTTTTTTAAATCATACAATTAAAATTACAAAATCATTAAATAAAAAATCTTAACTTCAGAAATAAAAACTAAAAACGCATTTTTACTACATAGTTTCGTGAGTTAATTGATAGCTTCATGTGTTTTCAAATATTTTTGTTTTTGTCACACGGTGTTTATTAAATTTGATTATTTGAGATTGGTTGCTTACTTCTTCACACCCTGTATGTCACCACGTTCAGCAGCTAATATGAAATTCTTTTCAATCTCATTTAGCATATACTCCTCGCCCAATGAGATGTTATAGGTGGGCTCACCCTGTTCAGGGTCATCAGCGGCGGGCTTTTTTTGCGACATTTTACCGTGTGCATGCACTCAGTTCTTCAGGAAGTTCTTCGCGGTCGAAAATTGATACGGAATTTTAACTAAAATATTTTATGGACCCTACAATAAAAAGAATTCCATCAAATACTGATTTGCTACTTTCAATAAAGCTTTAATGAAATAAGGATAAAGTTAAGTATAACAAAATTAAATAGATTATACATTTTTGGTTTTTATTTCTGACAGTAAATTTTGATTTGGAGGAAAAACCTGGTCTAATTTAGTAATAATTTTTTACTTAGAATTACTATTTATAATGTATTCCAGCAACGGGTTGTGCACTTGGCGTGGGCTAGGAACTCGCCATGTAAACACATTTACCAATGACAGGAATAATGAAGCCTCGGATGACACCGCCTGCTTTTGATGACGGCCACAGAAAATGTTTAAAGGACAACGATGTAATTACCTGGTGGAGGATAAAGTCCGACATCACCGCCATCCAAGAAATGCGATGGACGGGGCAAAGCAAAATATGCGTGGGGCTTGCCACGTCTACGACCGCTGCCGCGTAAATGAGCACAAATTCGGTGTTGGATTTGTGTTGGGAGAGTGACTACGTTGGCGAGTACTGTTGTTCATCCCGGTGGAAGAAAAGGATCTGAAAATAATGTTAGCAATTTGAATGGTAAGGTGGGCAAAGAAGGTGGTGCCATTGTCTGAAAATTCAGCCTTCACCGACAATTTCTTATAACGTATTGAGGAGGGCCATTAATTGACTCGGATCACTATCTGTTGCAGCCAATTTATTCGCCACTCGACTCCCACTCCTGCTTCTGCGACTTTTCAGCAAACCGACATACGTGAACAGTGGAACCACATTTGCCGCTAATTACGTACGACCGCGAAGCACCGCCATTGAAGTAGTCGGATTCCAGCGAGCCCGAAAGAACAACTGGTACGATGCGGAATGTCACAAAGGTGCAGTGAAAAAACTGCTGCCTACAGGGCCACGATACGATCGGGCGCAACATGAGTTATGTAGGACTGATATAGGGCACTGAAGAGGGAAGCTGCACGTATTTGCCGATAAAAAATGTCAGAAAAGTCGATCAGAAAGGTCGACAATTAACGGAAGGTTTCAAGACCAGATTCCCAGAATGTACTTAAATTATGGAGGGAACACTTTTCCACCCTATTGAATGGTAGCAACACTGAGAGTAATGAAGAAGACGAACCCGAGTCCACAGTCGATGACGATGGTGGAGTCGATATCCCAACGCCTGTTCATAACGAGACTGTTCATGGCAATTAAGCGGCTGAAAAACAACCAAACTTCTGCAGCTGACAACCTCCCTGCAGACCTATTTAAGTATGGCGCCGAGGAGCTGCATGCATCAACTCTTATGCACAATATGGTCAGATGAACGCCTGCTTGTTTACAGTTTTAAGACTTTTTTTTGGCATAACTAGTTACAAAACAACTATTTATTGTTGCAATTTGTACACAATTGTTGTCCTCTTTCCTGAAAGGTAAATTCGGTTTCAGTGTACTACACATACTGAAGTAAGTGTCTCCAATGAACACAATCAGATGCCTTCTTTTCCTGGTTTAGCTCAGGAGTTTCCAAACTTTTAAGATAATAGAACCCACACTAAATATCTTTCGTTTTATGGAACCCCACATTAAATGACTAAAAATCAAAGGCACTGCAATTTAAATATGAATAACAGCTTTTACTAGAAATAGTATACATACTTTAACTTTTAATGTGAATAATAAAATTCTTTCATTGTTTTGTTAATTATATATTGCTTTATAGTACAGCATTATGCCTGAAAGATGGATGCGAATTTCTAGAGTAGCATCCAATTTCGAGCAGAAGTTGTTAGCTTTTTTTAGCTACTTCATGGTATTCACACCTAACCCTAATCTAAAAATTTCATATCAAAACACATTCATTTCTCGATAATAGGTAATGCTAAATCGAAAGCCTCACTTTTCCTAGGACATTGCCCTGGGAATAAAAATGCATTTTCGAATGTGTGTTGTTTTACTGAGTATTTTTTCGAATACTATACATAACATTTTCCCACTGGGTTACTTCCAGCTATGACATTTCACATTTTATTTTGTAATTCATGGCGTTTCTTTCACAAAGTTGTATAAAAGTGGGAAACATTCAATGCTTTCCTTTTTCACACAGGTAATCCAGAAATTAAATTTTCTTTTAAAGGAGGATAATTTGTTTCTCGCCAAAAACACGGTTGTTGACTTTCCCGACCTCTCCATAAATATTATGAGATGGATATTCGAATAATAATAACAATGTTTTGGCGCTTACAGGCTTAGTGTTTGGCCGAGCTTCTCTTCCAATTTGTGGTTGTAAACTTGATGTTGTTACAAAAGGAGTGACCTACAGCTTTACGCCGCCTTCAAACGGCAAATGGATTTTATGAGAAGCTTTTTCATGACGGAAATACACTCGGAGGTTTGCCATTACCTGCTGAGGGGCGACCGCTGTTAAAAAAATACTTATTTTCTATATATATTTTTTTGCGATACTTCTATGACTAGGGTTCGAAACACGGTCATTCGAAGAGGTAAAATGCACCTCTAATCCTTCGGCTACAGCGGCCAACAACACATACAAGCTAGAAAAAAAAACAAGCTAATAAGCACAACGCGCAACGCTCTTTGTATGGGTATGACACTCAGTACGACAATCATAAGTCTCGTTATGCTGTTTACAGAGCTTTTCTTTGCGTATTCAACTCAAACCGACGGCCGACTGCCGACTGCCGACTGCCGACCGCCGAGCTTATTCATACCGAATTTTAAGCGGTAGTAAATGAAGCAGCTCTGAATTGTTCTTATGTATCTGTCGAATTATTTAACAGGCAAAATTTAATCATTTCACGGTACCCTGTTTAGGAAGCTCTGGTCTGGCCCACGCATTTCATAATAGGCTATTTCCCGCAAAACCCGAACCGGATCCCGTAATAAGAGAATAAGGGAAAAATTTGCTCTCATAAGTGGAAAAATCTCCATAAATAAGGGGAATACTAAAAAAACGCATTTATGTACTTTAAAAGCACAAAGTAAATGCAAGCAACATGTAAACACAACACAGCTGATATGCACTTTGTCACTTTATTAATTTTTACGCGGAGAAAAAGTGCGGACTCCTTCGGGCAGGAAGAACACGACATTTACGATCCAATACGTTCGAAGTTTTGCTCTCTGTTACCCGTTTTTTGAGTTTGGGCATATTTTGGGATCCCGTGAGATCCCTCGTTGAGAACGGGAAAGAACCTACTATTGTCGTTTTAAACAACCATCTGATTTTCAGGGCAACCGTCTCCCACTGACAAAGCTTCAAAGGGCAAAGAGTGTGCCTTTTTGCTTTACAAGAGTGTCACATTTTAAGGAACGAAGACAAAATTTCTTCACCCTTTACCTTTAGGTTAGAATCGAACCCGAAAAGAGAAAGGGGCTATCAAGAGGCGACAGCTTTGGGTAGAAACGAAAACACCATTACAGTGGCTCAAACAATTCAACACGTGATTATTTTTTTTGTAATATTTACAATGATTTCAGGTAAAATTTTTATGCTTAATTTTGTATTAAAATATTGTCCAAGGTTTCACCAAACCATATAAATCAAAATTTCACACAATTTAAGAAATCTCACCAAATTTTTATAAAAATTGTAAACTTATTAATTTGAATCTTTAGAATATTTCCGGGTATTTGATTATATTATTTAGGAAAAATGGAAAAGGCGACAAAGTTTAAGCGGTAGAAATTATAGCTGCTATTTGGCGATCACCACATCTCCTCATCAGACTTCTTTTTCCAGATTTTATTTTATTTGTATAACAAATTTTTCCACTTTTTTGTAAATAGTAGCATGAATTTCTTATGAAATAAGATGCGGAAGACCGTTCGAAACAAAATTTCGAAAAATCAATGACAGTTTTTATAAATAACACTTGATTTTTATATATCACGTAGGTGCAATGAAATTTTTAGTAAACTACCGCATTTGTTTTTTAAAGATCCTTCCTTCCCATTAAACAATTTTATTTGATTTTGCAGATAGGCTTTTGCAACTGGCCCTAATGCCCTCATATAATTCCTAAAACAATATTCATAATCTCAGAATATCCTTGCAAATTTTGTCCATTTATTGAAATAATTCAAACATATTAAATTTTTTAGTTTAACGCTTTTAGCCACCATATCTTTTGCCTTCAATAAAAGCTCATTTTAATTAATTGTTTTTTTTTTTGTTTTTTTACACAAACTATTATGTAGGTACTTGATTTTGTTTAGTGAATTCTCCTCTCCAGTTGTAATCCACAATTAGTATGCTTTCAAGGATCGTTTAACCCTTTAGATCCTTGTGCCAGTATCCTTGAGTTAAATATATCCTTCCTTTAAGGCATTCAATATTTCCCAGACATTTTATTTGACATTTTTCAATTCCGCAATATTGTTGTTAAGAGTTCAAGAATTCGCGAAGAACTGAGCATAAATTGGCCTAACGCCTTGGTATATGCTACTAATTACATTAGCGTACAATAAAAGTCGGTCATTGAAAAAGTCGCAAATATTCAATCGATTCAGCAGACTTTAGCTTACTATCAGCAGTACGGACACGAGACCAGAAAAAAAAGACAAAAACAAATGAGTAGTACAATGAAATACATTGAGGATTCGCTAAATCAGCTGCCTTTAAAATATATTTTTTTAATAATATTGACGATGGCAAAAAAAAAAGAATGCGCGTTGATGCATGAATGCATGTGACTAACGGCGCATTGCTCTTGTGGAATGTTTTCATAGTTGACGCTTTGTAAGTCTTGGGGCTGCCGTTAGCACGTGAGGTTTCGCAAATGAGGCGCATGAGAAAAAATCGATAATTGTGCTGGGTCTTACCCTGCCTCAAGACTCAGCCTTGAATATGGTTCATATACATTGTTGCTAATTGTAATACAATTATTTACATACTTAGTTTGATGTAAACATTTATTGGTATTTATCCCAGAAGTCTTTGATTCTGAAATTGGCTTTTTATGCTGCAATTATTAGGAAAAGTGCTTGTATGGCTTAT